GTATGCATTCTCTACATTGTTTTATTTTGCTAAACAATGGGAACAAAGAGGTATGACCACTTCCACAGGTAAACCTGTCACGCATGCAACGTTGCTGAAGGATCTTTTGCAAAAAATAACATTACCTTCACGATTGGCTGTTTGTAAATGTGCTGCACACACGGGAGGAAGTGATTTTGTCAGTAAAGGAAATCATTTGGCTGACCTCACTGCTAAAGCTGCAGCTGCAGGACAGCACTCATACTCTCATTTCTTATTACAAACAGACCTTCTCATTGATTCTGACATCCTATCATCGGCTCAGGACTCAGCACCTGCAACTGAAAAACAATCATGGTTAAACCGGGGGGCATGTAAAAAACTTTTCTGGGAAATTAATGACAAACCTGTGTTGCCAAAGTCTCTTTTCCGTGCTGCCGCTCTCTCGACACATGGTCCTTGTCATGTGTCGACAGGGGGGATGATTGAAATAATTCAGAAAACTTTTTTCACTATAGGTTTAGAGGCCTATCTAAAACAGTTTTGTAAACAATGTACAATCTGCATTAAACACAACCCACAAGGGAACATGAGACCGAAAAGAGGAGCTTTTCCTACACCATCTTATCCATTTCAAACAATGCACATGGACTTCATTGAGTTAAATCAGAGCGGTCCATACAAATATTGTCTAGTAATGGTAGATGCTTTTTCCAAATGGGTGGAAATTGTACCTACCGCCAAACCAGATGCTATCTCAGTAGCTAAAGCAATATGTAAATACATTGTCCCATACCATGGCATCCCAGAGACTCTGTATTCAGACAATGGAACACATTTTGTTAATGACATCATCAGCAAAATGGCCGAACATCTAAATATAACATTGAAAAATCATTGTGCTTATCATCCACAAAGTGCAGGTTTGGTTGAAAGGATGAATGGTACAATAAAAAGCAGACTGAAGAAATGTATGGAGGAAACAGGAAGACTATGGCCAGATTGTTTAGATTTGGTAAAGTTGTACATGAGAGTAACCCCTACCACAATAGGCCCAACTCCTTTTGAGATCCTGCATGGTAGGCCTTATAGACTTCCTGTGTTTGATTTAGACAAAGTAGAAGAAGAAAATACGTTGGCAGATTACATGGTTAAAACTTTGCAGTTAAAAGAAGTACAAAGTGCAAATTTACTGCCTTCTGATTCCTCTCTTCCACAGGTCACAAAGGTGGCCCCTGGCGACTGGGTGTTCATCAAGGTCATCAAAAGAAA